ACACAATCTCACCCGTGTCGTCTGGATACGTTTCGGCGATTGTCAACACTGATGTGCCGTCCTCGAACTCCTCGATCTGGAATTCTTGGGACGACACGATCGGTACACCCTGCTTGTACCATTTTCCTTCTGGTTTCGGTTTTCCTTTGACCTTCACTTCCAATCTACATGGAAAATGGAAAATAGACAATAAATATTACTAAAAAAAAATGGATTTTATAAGAAATAGTTTATCGTATAGTAAGATTGATTTTATGAAATTTTCAATGAAAGAAATAAGTTTTTAATTTATGCTTTGTATTAAGTATAGTAATTCTTTTATTAATATGTTCATTATTTCTTGTAAGAATTATTTATTAGTATTTGTATATTAAGTAACATATGCTGAGTTTTGTAAGTTACATTTTTATTATATTTGTAGTCACATTGCGAAAGTTCGTACCTGGTTAATTCTCCGTCTTTGGTAGGAACTAACTGAGGAAGTTTCTTAATTATCTCCGGTGCGGATTCTTCCGTATCCGTGTCGAACAGGGGAGTCTCCTGTAATTGGTTTTATATAACGATTAAAATATGTTATTTATATATTTATACAATTAAAATAAATGATTTATTAGAACAAACCTTGGGAGATAAGAGATCTTCTTCCGAACCGCTTTGCCCTGTAGTAAGTGATGTCGCAATAATCGAGGATGCAATCTCCGAGTCTGGCACATACTCGTATGCTGAAAATTTATGACAATAAAATGCAAATTCTTATTACACAATTATTATGCAATATTGATAATACTATTAATGATACTTAATATTTAATATTAATAATAATATTACTATTATTACTCTTAACAATACCACTCAATATCAAGCGTAATATTATACTATCACATAATATTAACTTCATTACTTCACTTCAACCAAATAATAAACAATTCGTTGATAAAAATATTAAGTTTCTCAAGATATACCTTCTACGACAAGCGACGACGTGCAGACAGCTTCGCCAACAGGATTCACGGCACGACAAGTGTATTCACCGGCGTCCTCGGGGAACACCTCGCTGATGGCCAGGCGACAGACACCTTCCGTGTCCTGCAGTATGGTGATCTCCTTGCCCTCTTTGATCGGCTTGTTGTCGTGGTACCACTCGACACGCGGCGTGGGTTTACCTTGCACCACGCACGTCAGATTCGCGCTTTCACCGTCCATGACCCTGACCGGGGATAATCTCTTGACGAACGTCGGCGAGACGAGCTCCACCGTCTCTTCCCACGGGGTCTCCAACAGATTCACGGTGGCCGTGCAGGTGACCGAGCCGCCGACGTTCTCTGCGCGGCAGGTGTACGTACCCGCGTATTCCGTTTTTATTTCTTTTATCATCAGGATCGAGCGGTTCTCTTGCGTCACGATTCTCACCTGCGGTGTCGACTGTAAAGCGAATTTTCAATTGCTTCGTGCTTCGTCTTTTGAAGAGTAAATTTAATACAATGGAATTTGGAATGTACGAGATGGAAAATAAACTTTTTAAGTCAATAATAGGTATAAATGTGAATTGGTTAATCATTGTAGATTATAATAGATAATACGTTGCTAATATGATACATAAATTTGTAAATTGAAGTATTATACTTAGATGTTCTGCTTATCTACAGAAAACAAATATTGCCATATTTGCAATTTCCAAGAGTACTGCTTGCGACTAACAATCCACCGATAATTATAAAGTTACAATGATAATTAAAAATTAAACATACAAACACCATGGTAAAGATCTGAGATTTTCAATTCTTAATAAATTCTTTCTTCTCTAATTTTAATAAAAATTATAAAAAATTTATGTGGACAATTCAGAATATCCAAAGCGAAAAGAAAAACTGCTTACCTCCAGAGGACGGGTTTCGTGGAACCACTGGAACGACGCAGTGGGATAAGACTCCACCCTAGCCTCCATAATAACCACCTCTCCTTCAGCAACGATCTGTGGTTGTATAGGTTCAACAAATCTCGGGGCTTTCACTTCATCCGGTTTGTCTTGTCGTTCTTTCACCGTAACGGATCCAGAACTCCTTGCTTCGCCGGCAGGATTCTGCACCCTAATTTCATACTTTCCGCCATCTTTCTTAGTCACCTCAGGTATGAAGAGCTCCGCCGTGCTCTCGTAAATGTTAATCACTCGTTGATCAGATGGCACAATTTCAGTGCCATTTCTGAACCATTTAACTTCCGGCGCTGGTTTGCTCTCGAAATCAGCTGACAACGTCAAAGGTTGTCCTCTTTCGGCTACCAGCGCTGGAAGAGGCCTAGTGATCTTAGGTGCTCTTAGAACTTCCGGTTTGCTGACTCGGACAGCGTCGCTGATCACTAGATTAGCTCTACATTCGGCGCGACCGAATTTGTTCACGGCGCGGACGCGATAGATCGTTTCATCCTCGGGCGTCGGTTCCAGTATTTGCAATTTAGCTTCTCCGGTTTCAGGGTTGAAGGTGATCTCCCGGCCCTTCTTCGGTTTCAGCTCCTGTTCGCCGCGGTACCACTTCACTTCCGGCATCGGTGTTCCGGTGACCACGCACTCTAGTAGCGCTGGCTTGTGCTCCTC